AGTACATTATATGCGTTAAAATGCATTTCCTTAGCCAATTAGTATAACAGTCAATCATCATTATTATTGATTATATCTGTCGTTGAGCTTTCCACGAGATTTTCGATTAGAATCTGGAATAAGAACTTCCAAATCTTCCGAATGTATAAGATAACTGTTTTAAAGTAAATATTTGTTTCTCTCTTGATCTTCATAATTGACTAGATATTTTCAATCGAATTTGCATCCGAGGATTAGGAAAACTGGCTTACCGTGACATCATTTTCATATTTGTGAAGATTTCATATTTGTAAAAAGCACGTTTCGTGGAAAGTATAAAAACAAGCTACAATCAATAACAATTGTGTGATCGGACACCACACTAATAATGCACTTAGTACAATAAATTTTTTTTAAATAAATTTTGTTTTTAATATACTAAGTTTCTTTCGAGAAAAACTACTAACAACGCTCTTGTGCCACTGATACTGACGTACATCAAATTGATGACAAAATTAATGTGTTATAATTATCTGAAAAAGAGAAAGTGCCTTATATAAAAAAAATTTACTCATTCCGTTCGCGAAAGCTATCGGGGAATCCGACCGCGTGCATCGTGCTCATTTAATAGTTAGAACCCGGGGGTATCCATTAGAAGATCCTTAGTTCGCTTGGAAACTTGAAGCAGTATCTCTTGCTCGTATATATAACTCGTAGGGGAAGTTTCCTCTCTTCTCCGAGGGATTTTCTAAGCTTTAGGACATGTACTAGGCGGCACTCTGTAAACGATCGCCATGCGCCTCGTGCGCCATATTAATAGGGCCATCTACATAGGCAACTTAATATTGGAATCGCGGCACGCGATCCCGGACGATCCTTAGAAGTAGAAACGATTTATGACCGCGGACGGCAAAGGATTTGTAAATAGAATCTTGCTCAAAACGAGTGTACTCGGAGGAAGCGCGTGCGTGCTTCGCATAAATGGCAGAGTCGCGCACGCTGTGTAAAGAACTCAACTAACTTCCGTTTTTATGAAAATATTAATCTGCACGGCATAATCTACTCGGTCATACAAACTATAATAAACGTGGAAAAGAACCGTGGGAGTAAGATTTTTTCTTCATTACGTTCTCCAACAACTCTCAATGAGATTTAATAAAAATACCCAAGAGAATTGACTTTGGCAGCGCTCCTACTCTTCGGAAAATTCTCTTCTCAATTAACTACAAGTATTAAGCACATTTAATTAAAGAAAGATATCGAATGCAAATAAAAAAGTTTTGGAAAGAAATACGTATTTCATTTATTTATTTTTTTTTTTTTTTTGATAATTGAAAATGCTAGCAGCAAAAGAATCAATGATAGATGATAGACAAATTTAAAGTCGAGCAATCTAGTACACAAATTTAAATACAATCAACGTACAAAGAACATTGTTATTAGGTGAGCTCCGTCTGGGTTGCGTCTAAATTAGTGAGCAACAATCGATTCTCTAGAGATAAAGTTCCTGAGGGATACTTCGACAGTGGCCGTAGGCGAGGGTTCGAAAAGCAACCGCAGAAATTTCAGACGGTCTGTAACTGACGATGAGATGTGTAACTGCCGAAATAACCGCTCGAGTGATTTGTACGAGCAGCGCGTAGGCGTCTACGTTTCGCGTAGCGTTGCGCATTACCGGATTGTTTGCCATGCATTTCCAACGGTCCGTCTTGTCTGTCGGAAGTTCCGCTGGTCGACGTGACCCCAACGCAGTTCAATGCATAATGCGCGACAGCAGAAATTCCGCTATGAGCATTTGCATACGTAAACGCCGCGGGCATCTGTAGCGATTATCGCCAAAGCGCGCTACAATGATCGGGAATCGGTTGACAGCTAAAGATGTTAAAAATATCTTTTGAATGTCACTTCACGATGGCACTTCTCGGACCCGAATCGACACACTCCAGCGATATTACATTTTCCCGAAATGGATAACGGATTTGGTGGAAGGAAAGTGCAACCAGAAGTTTCACAAAAAGTGTAAGGATTTCATATTCCGTTTGTAGGAAGGAAAACCGAGAGTTCGGTGAAGAAAATAAAATCTGTCCTAACCATAGCGACACGTCCCGTTGTATTCGGAGCAACGACTCCTTTCTCGTCGTTATAACTTTCTCCTTCCTGAACTCGCAACCCGTCCCCGCACGCTATTCTACTACTCTTCCCGTTTTCGCATAACTTCACCACGGCGCGTGCTGTACTCTACGTTACTGTACTCTATACCAATCGGTAAACATTAACGTGCGACGCATTTGGAACGAATCCCTCAAACGGCAATTTCGAAATTTAGTCCATGCATGGGCATGGACGCGTTTAAATCTCATTAACCACCGGAGGAATCGCACGTCGGAATTCTGGTTCTCCAGACGCGAGAGAACGCCGAGAACGGGGCCTCGCAACATGGGTATCGATATAAGCGAAAGGGGTAACGCGAAAGGGGTTGGCGCGGCGGAATGTACATCGTAGTGGCAGCGGTGTCGCGGCTTGGGAAACGTTGTTGTCCCGGTGCATCCCACGTTACGGTTGCAATCGAGCTGGCAGATACTACGGGCGAGTGTCAAGGGAACAAGCCGCGCGACCGTCGTGCAATCAGGCACGCCACAGCCCTCTGTGCGATGCAACGGAAGTGGAAGAGGGTACCTATACCTTTACTACGTTGCCGTGGGACTTGACGCGCGGCGAATATAACCAACGAGCTTCGAGCTCTCACGAAGAAAGACGCCTTAGCGTCGCGACTTATATAAAATATTTTTTAATCAAAATAAGTACTCCTGTTTAAAGGAAAATATCCACAGAAAATTATACTGGCAATATTATAATTTTTAATATAAAATAGTACACAATACAAAATGTACGGTGTGTCTGATGTAAAGATTTTTAAAATGTTCGAAATTACAAAGCTTTAAATAATAATGTGTGTGTTTAATGTATATAATTCACATTAAAATACATATATATATATATATACATATATTTTATGTCCGACTTTCGTTTTTGCCAAGGATTCTACGTTAAATTCCTACCTATAATAAATTGTGGTACAGGTGAAGTAAACGTCTTGCTGCAACGGACTTGCGCTCGTTTTGGATCCTAAAACACTGCATTCAGGCGCAACGTAAATTCTACGAGAACGTAGAAGCACGAGAAATCCTCGACGAATGTACATAGATTATTAAAGTAAAGCTAGATTTAAAGTGCATTTAGACGTTTCGGAGAACGTCAACCCGCCGTCTAATTTCCTATATTTTCCTTCGTATTACAATTACGGCTTCTGCAAATACTCTTGGTCATTATTACACAATAGCATATAGTTTCCGAATGTACGTGGTTGGAATTAACGTCGAGTTTGTCGTGATGAAGTTGAAAAGAATCTACATTAAATTCTATTTGGTTGGCGTTAACTTCCTCTTACGGGTAACGAAACAGTTTGCAAGTTTTGTCAAGCCACTCCAGCAATGCACGATTTACACGTGCACCACTATTACACTTTCCCCTAGGTAACAGAAGTACGTAACGCGCTACAAATTGGCTACTACCCTCTACCTTGCTCAAGCACTACCGGGACTTGCGCCATAAGTCACCTTACTCGTTTCTCGCTCCACCCTCACCTTGGGACGAATCGCATCTCGAATTCAATTTCACGAAATGGTCATTACGTCACAAATTTCTAAGTGTTTTCGTAAAACTATTGGAACGTAAAATACTGAAGAAGCCGATTTTCATTCCGCCGTCTTGCCAACAGCGTTACTCTTAATTAATAAATCCTCGACAAAGAATTTCAATAAATAACATTCCATACTGATTTATAGCTTTCTTTATTAAAAAAAAAAAAAAAAGTATCTTTATCCACATAAATTCGCATTTAGAGAGCCAACTCTTAAAGAAGGATTAATCGGTGGCCAATACATTAAGAATTTAATCACGGTTAATAGAAAATTAATGAAGCGAACGAGCGTTGGAAAAAAAAACTCTCGCTATAACTTTACTTTCCGCCAGTTATAGCGGAATCCCAAACGCTCTTAAAATCTTATTACTGTGTCTCAAAGATCTCTGCACTCTCAAGCACTGAATTTTAGTAAACGACCATGCGCAAAGATATTTCATTCGAAATTCCCTCGAGTACAATTTTCCGAAGAAAATATTACACGTATAATCTACGTAATTTACAGAAATAAAAATCGGGAACAGATTGCGTTATTGACTAAATTATAGGAGTAAACGAATATTCGCAATAATTTTGATTAAAAATTGATAAAACGCATCGTCATTACAAGTTACGTTTGTTGGACACGTTCTTAACTCCGATCATTAGCAAGTTATAGAAATCAACATCGTTCAGTTCATTAGTCATAATGTGCAATGCTAGAAATTCTGGCACACCTTCTGTACATTTCCTTAATGTATGTAGGTATATGTTTATATTCACGTTATATCGCTATAATTTAACGGAACATGGCTGTATTCCATTGGCGGTAGACAACCGCGAATAGACTCCACCGGACAACGGAAGGCCTGAATTAGGTGCATGACAAATCGCTGTGCATGGATAATTTATCTGTTAACATAATGCTGTCTGCCAGTGCTGAGCATAGCGAAACAGCTTGTCTAATTATAATTTACGAAATGTGAATGCATGATATTATACGCGAGAATGAAAATCATGAAAATCATGAAAATTATATGAGTATACAAAATTTACACATATCGCATTGTAATTATATCGCTAAGATAATGTAATTGAAGAACAGAAGTAAATATTAAAAATTGATATTTATTTCACGTTACTCGAAGAGTTGTATAGAAGATTTGTATACAAATTTTAAAATATACTAATGTAATAGTTTTCCATTCAATATATGTCTAATAAATAGAAATTAATATCGTATTACGTACTGCATTCTATCGTAATAATTTTTATTATTCATTGATATGCAAAAGAAATAACAAGTTTTTAATATTCACTGCTCAAAATATGGATTACTTACTCGGGCCAAATACGACGAATGTTGAATTGATGAAACGTCAAAACAACAATTTCATCTGGATGACCAATGAATGTGTACAGAAGGCAATCGATATTCGGTGGATATCGTTTTGGAAAATCAGGAGATGTAAAAGTGCCACCTTGAGGTCTGTCCGAGCTGCTGTATACAACACAAGAACAACCTGTAAAAAAAAAAAGAATGTCATATAGACGTCGTATATGACAAACGGAAAGTTAGGAAAGTTAGGAAAAATAACACAATGCATATGGAAAGATGAAATAACATTTCAACAATATTCGACAGCGTCGAATTATATCAACACTGCAAGCTTCGTCTGATGTGTCTCGTTCCGAACGATTTTAATGTAGAGATATCGGGTCTTGTCGATAATGAAATTCACCATCTGACATTGCTTGCAGGATGAGGGACGAGGGCTCGTGAGAGAAAAGTTTTCTTATTTCCAAAATGAAGTTGTCGCGCCTCGCATCGATCTAACGTCTTCGCTTTCGTGCTACCAGCCGTGTCGAATGCCAAACTCAAAGAATTAAATTAAAGTTTGATTTTTCGGGGAGGAAAAATTCTACGGAGAGAAGCACATAATAATTCACGCGGTGAACGTCATCCCCGACAACGAGTCAGTCGTACAGTTAAAAATAAGCAATTAAATAAATTCTTAACGATGGCATCGCAACCATTTTCCGAACAGTTCGTACGTGATCGGCATCGACACGATATAGAAACGACAAGACATAAATTTACTCCAAATGTATCCGGCAGATCAGACGGCGAATGATTAAGCAAGCCGATAATTTATAGAGGAGTCGTTGCAAAGGCCAGCCGACATAGCTCCTATTATCCGAGAAGCCGTGACTCGCACAACTGGGAATCGCGAAAATTTAATTTCCTGTTTTTCAATTAACTTTTACGTTAGTCGGGCACAACGGGTCTTCTCGGCGAGCAGACACACAGGAGAATGCAAAGACCCGTCGTATCTATGGTTAAATAATGGCATGACACTTGAGTTATACCGCCGGTACAAAAGCCCGAACATTCTCGACCAGTTTTATGCTTTGGGGACTCCATTGTATCCCGTAACTCGCCGTAATGCGGAGGGAGTGATTCTCTTTTTTTATTTCACAGAGGTATGTGTACCGAGCTGTGTAATATACCGGTTTATTGTGCGCCCATTGTTGTAGAAAATAAAGCGATTCAGAGTGTAGAGCCGACTGTATAGGCAAGAAGTTGAAATTCGACTGTGGTGCAAATGCTATGAGACTCTCAGCACTCATAAAAAAGCGAGACATTTCGTAATTTTCTTAAAAAAAAAAAAAAATAATAATAATAATAATAATAACGCCCAAATCTTTCAAAAATTACATATTATCCGTTTTGTTTATATTATATATTTTAATTCATATAAAACAATAAGAAAAATTAGGATTTGTATCCTATTACGAAAAGAGAGAAACATATTATATGTAATGTATATATATAATATATTCGAATATGACGAAACTAATTTCAATGTGAAATATAATAAAATAATATAAATTTATTGTAATATAATATCTTTTATAGATAATAATATGGCAGAGCGCAAAATCGTGCTAATGGGAAGAGAAATGTGAATCATTATGTAGTATCACGTTAATGCGAATACAATCATTTATCCAAGATAATATCACCATCGCTACCCTCACGATTCGTCTCTGTCGGTGCGCTAGTGCTTTGCAATGATTATTCTGGCTGAAACGATCCATTAGCAAGCATTCGTTCGGTACGGCAAGACTAATGCAAACAAAGCAATTTATAAGGATAGTGACGCAATTAATCAGTCTTTCGAAAAAGCGAGACACAAAGGGGAGGAAGTTGTGCGCCAAAGAAAGAACATATCGCGTTTCGCGCGCAGCGAATTAATAGCTCTACGAGCCACAAGTTAGAAGGGTCTTTAGTAAATTAGCAAAAACAATATGTTCTTTTTGTTTCTTTCTCCATTCTGGATATTCTATCCATCTCTTAACTGTAGCGATCATTTTTTTTTAATCTTTCATTATCCTACTTTTCTTCTTTCTACATATTATCTTTTGTTTTTATTTTATTTTTCATCAACCCGCTTTCGTTAAGTACGAAAGTTTTTACAACTGGAAAAACATCCAAGCACTGTCACGTGAAAAATATTAGTGATACTTGTATTTATTTGTCTTGTTACTATCGTAAAATACACTGTGACGTTTACAATTTTCTAGTGCCTAACATCGATGTTATTCATTTCGCTTTGTGCTACCTACAGTGAGAGCAAAAAGTATTCGTACAAGGAAATTTGTTATAAAAAAAGTCTTATTTATAGAAAATAAATATTAGCAATTTTATACATTCTGTTCTAACATAAACAAACGAGCTTCGCATGTATTCCTGATTTTAGAAGCTAAATTTCTCGTCTGTACGAATTCAAACAATACAATTTTTAATTTTCGCTTATTTTTCAGATGATATATTTTGTATAATTAATATACATCTTTTTGGTATATATATATTAGGTGTTGGAATTAATTCGTAGCGTAGAAATGATTGTCAATTAAACATCGAATCGACATCAAATTGATATTAAAATCATCATATTTATATCGTATATAAATTCGATGTCTCATTTCTCGATGGATAATATTTATTTTTTAAAAATAAGGTTTTTTTAAAAAATATTTTCTCTATACGAATACTTTTTGCACTCACTGTATATATACAAACTTTCAACAAATATTATGTGCATGGATAAATAGTTTCATTACCTATCTATATTTCCTACTATTAATAAAATCTCTCTCTCTAAATCAAAATTTTCGCGTTATAAAAAGGTAATAAATTATTTCTGTTGTAATAATGAAAAATTAATTACAAACAATTAAAGAGAAAAATTGAAATAAATCACCGAGCTAAATTAAACGGAATCAATTACTGCTTCCATATTAATAATGTCGCATAGAGTGAAAAGTAGAATGTCAGAGAACATAAAATTGCTTGCACAGCTACTTCCTCATGACGGAACTGTCCGAGAAACCTAAAGAATATTTTAAATGACGGCAGAACTAATTCTCCTCACATTACACATGTATGTTAACGTATGTACAATACTTGCTGAGAATAGCATGTACGATGTTAAAAACGATTACGGCTCTTGGCTGCTGAAATGGGGCGTCAGGCCGCTCAAAAATACTCGGAGACATCATTGTTCAGTCACGTTTGCTGGCATTGACTCGAGCATCCTCAGGTTGCACTTTATTTATAATGTACTTTGCAATAGTTACAGAGGAAAGAGCAATAAACTTTTTTGTAAACGAAGAAAAACGTGTATACAATTAATGATAGACTTGCAAGGGTATCCGTGTCACGACATAGGAATAATTAACATGCGGCGATTGTTTGTACGTAGACATGTACACCTGCATGAATATCGATTAGACATGATATACATATATGAAGTTTATAAAATTAATCGCTCTCACGCGCACATGAATGTCAAGAAGTGTCGTAAAAGATTTATATTTTATACAAAAATAAAAATGATATTTTATTTAAAAAAACGAAAATGAAAGAGATTATATTATAATAAAAAAATTATAATATTACTTTTATCTAAATTATGTCAACAATATTAGTTAATATGATATTAATTGCTAAATATTATCGAAAATTGGTCTTTAATAATTTTTTACTCAAATATCATCAACTATCAGAACTCTAGAATTTTTTCAGAATTTTTCATTAACTTTTTAGTACTGTATTTTCTCATTTTTATCAACATGAGAAAATACGGTATTAAAAAATTCTAAAAAAATTCTTAAAGGTCTATGAGAAGAAAATAAACAATTTTTATCTCTTGCAGTTTTTCTGTAAAGTTGATAGCATTTAAGTAAAAAATTATTTTTAAGAAGACCAATTTTCGGCAATGTTTAGCAATGTGATTAATATCTTATTAACTATTGCGAAAATTGCAAAATAGCACTTTCCGTCTCAGTTTAGTCTACATGTCCACGAATTCCATCAAAACAATGATCCTACCATCAGAAGAGACACCCTGTATATATATATGTATATATACGTACATATACGTACACATACATACATACATATATATATATATATATATGAGAATTTGTATTTTCACTAAATATACCAACATTTGATGCTTTTATTTTTCCCCGAAGATATACAATCACATTTATAAAGGATAAATGCATTAAGCCTGTTTAAATTGTCATTATTTGTCAATATCTAACGTGATCTTTTTCTCGCATGACAGACCGTATTCCCTCAAGCATTATATAGTATACTGTGAGAACTCTGACAGGTGATCCGTAAGCTGTGACACGGAGAAGCGTGAAAGGACGTCTTCCCACGACTCTCCGGCTGCCTATACTATTATACAACAGTCACACAAACATCAAAGACATAAGATCAGGATGCCACACTAAGAAGCAATGATATTATTGCCACATCGGAAACAGTAGAAATCACTTAGCACTCAATTCCAGCCGCAAGTTGACTTTTCTGAATTCGGACTGATGCCGCAAGCTGCTGGCAAGATCGGAACTTGGAAGTTTCTGCAAAAGCGAGGGAAACTCTGCATTGCGCCTCATCCACTACTATTCCATTCATACATATAGGTATATAAATACATATAGCGTTCAAAGTAAGTGCAAGTGTTATCTCGACCGCGAGTATTACAGGTCAAATTCTAAGATAATATTTTTTTAATATTAAAATACCAATAGTTTTCGCTATAAGTGATTAAAGATTAAAGTAGATTGAAGCTTAAAGTAAACTTGACTTTAACAGAATTTTAATTTAAAGTTTAGCTACTAAAATATATATTAAAGTTAAGAAGTTGTGAGAAAGTATGGTAAATCAAATTTTCTCTATAAAATATTCTACTTCGAAATAATAAAGGAATCGTATTTAATTTTAACTAAAATTGTGATGTATCTCTATATATTCATAATTTTATATATATATATATATATATGTGTGTGTGTGTGTGTGTGTGTGTATGTATATCTATATATGAATATATCTATATAATTTATACATTCATCTACATTTTGTATATATAAATATACGTATTTATATTTCTACATATAGAATGTAGATAAATCTATTTATATACAGACAAAATCTATAGAATTC